AGATGCACGGGGAGACACGGGGGGAGATGCACGGGGAGACACGGGGGGAGAAACACGGTGAGACATGGGGGGAGATGCACGGGGAGACACGGGGGGAGATGCACGGGGAGACACGGGGGGAGAAACACGGTGAGACATGGGGGGAGATGCACGGGGAGACACGGGGGGAGATGCACGGTGAGACACGGGCAGAGGCACAGAGACACACGGGGAGACACACGGTGAGACACGGGGGGTGGGGGGGGAGACAAACGGTGAGAACACATGTGTGTGTCTACGTGTGTGCGTACGTGTGTGAGCGTACGTGTGTGTGCACATGTGTGTGTGTACGTGTGTGTGCGTGTGTGTGTACATGTGTGTGTACGTGTGTGTGTACGTGTGTGTGTGTACGTGTGTGTGTGTGTACTGGCAAAACAACCTCCTACCTCCTCGCGGTGCCGGACGGGCAACACTGTCGTGGGCAGTGCTGTGGGGGGAGGGCCAATGCCCATTGGCCTCTCCCCTCATGGCGTCTGTGACCACCACAGTGGCTAAACGGGGGCTCTGGACGGGTGTGAGGGGCTGGTAACCCCTCCACCTTCAATTCATTACCACTAAACCACGAATTAAACATAAACCTGTAACAAATAAGCTTGTGCCGGAGGCCCCGGGGGGTCAGGCTTTTATGACGTCTCCTGGCCAAACCCCATTTGGCGGAGCCAGGAGATTGAATTTTCACCCTCGGGGCTCCTCCAGAAACAACAAAAAACCATTGCGGATGGCCACGTGGAATGTTCGAACGCTCACTGCGGAGGAGAGGCTGCCACTCCTCTGTCGGGAGCTGGACCGGTACCGCCTGGATCTCTGTGGCATTCAGGAGGTCCGGTGGACCGGTTCTGGCTCCTGCCACCATGAGGGGTGGACAGTCCTCTACTCGGGGCAGGAGACTGCCAAACAACAGGGTGTGGCTCTTCTTCTGAACAAAAGAATGAAGGGGGCGTGGGAGCGTGGCGGTGAGGTGTGGGAAGCTGTAAGCCCCAGGATACTTTGGGCTCGCCTTCCCATCAACCAGAGGCGAGGAGTGGTGGTCGTGGTTACTTATGCCCCCACCGAAGACGAACATCCGTGGAGGGATGCAAGCAAAGCCGATGAGTCAGACGCTTTCTATGACCTCCTGTCACAGGTGCTGGCTAAAGTGGCCACTCGGGACAGAGTCATCTTGTTGGGTGACTTCAATGCCCGAGTTGGTCATGATGCTGACACCTGGTCTGGAGTGATTGGAAGGCATGGGCCAGATCAGCTCAATAATAACGGTAGGAGGCTGCTAGATTTTTGTGCAGCCCATGGGCTTGTAATTACCAACACGCTCTTCCGGCATCGGCGCATCCACACAACATCATGGATACATGCCGGGTCCAAGCAAGAACATCTGCTGGACTACATAGTGACGGACCAGCGGATGCGAGCCCATGTCCTTGACACCAGGACCTACCGTGGAGCTGATCTGTCCTCTGACCATCGACTAGTCATCTGTAAGATGCGCCTGCCTTTCTTCCACTCCGGTGGTGGGTGTACACCCAGGATCCCATTCCAACCAAAAGTGGCCTGGTCTCAGTTAGCTGATGAAAGTTGCAAGCGAGAATTTCATCATCGCTTGCAGCTGGGGTTGGCATCGTCCCCCACTCCACCTGATGTCGAGGGTAAATGGGCGAGGTTTAGGACTGTGACTCATGCAGCTGCAATGGCTGCTTTGGGTACGCGGTCCAGACCTCCCCAGAAACCCTGGCTGACAGAGGAGGTGTTCAGGTTAATTGAGAAAAAGCGACAGGCCCACTCTCATCGCCTACAGCATCCCACGTCAGAGAATGAGGAGGTTTACCGCAGCCTTCGCTCGGAAGTTCGGAGAGCCGTAAGGCGTTGTAAGGATGGGTGGTGGTCGCGGGTTGCTGAGGAGATGGAGTCTGCCTCAGTGGCCCGTGATCACAAATCACTATTTAACTCCATCAAAAAAGTAACCTGCAGCGCCACACCTATTACCATCATTAGAGGAAAAAACGGTGATCCAATCTCCGACCCCCAGGAACAGGTTTGCAGATTTGCTGAGCATTTCTGTGAGGTCCTGGGGGAGGGAAATTCTCTCAGCCAGGAAAACATCATGGCACAAAGTGGGGATAACCCTGCTGAGGCTGCGGTGCCTCAAATATTGGAAGAGGTCACCCCCTGTGAGTGGCTGGCTGAGGTTCCAGCTGTTGAGGAAGTACTGAGGGCGATCCGGAGTCTGAGACCAGGGAAGGCACCGGGCAGAGATGATCTCCCAAGCGAAATGCTGAGGGAGGGTGGCGTTTGTGCACAGACTGCCCTATATGACATCATAACAACAGTCTGGACCACTGGACGGGTTCCGCAGGACTGGAAGGATGCCCTGGTGGTCCCCCTCTTTAAGAAGGGGGACCGCACAGACTGTAACAACTACAGGGGCATCTCACTCCTCAGTGTGCCGGGTAAGGTCCTGGCAAGGATTATTCAACATCGCCTTGCTAGGCACGCTGAGGAGGGGCTTGCGGAGCCCCAATGCGGTTTCAGGAAAGGGCGGTCCTGCACAGATGCCATATTTTCTGTCCGTCTGCTACAGCAGAGGTGTAGGGAATTCCAAAAAGACCTACATCTCTGCTTTATTGACCTGGTCAAGGCCTATGATACCATCAGTAGGACTGGACTCTGGATTGTTCTTCGTGCTTTCGGAGTCCCTGACCCTCTGCTCACGATCATTAAGGACCTTCATGATGGTGAGCGGGCCCGGGTAAAACTACGTGGCCGGGAGTCGGAGCCTTTCCCTGTACACCTTGGGGTGCGACAGGGATGTCCTCTGGCTCCCACATTATTTAACATCTATTTTGACCGCGTAGTTCGTGAAGCCTTCAATAGCTGTACCGGGGGAATTTCCGTTTGGTACAGATATAATGGGAGGCTGATCGACGCCCGGGTGCGATCAAGGGATGGCTCCCTATTGGTCAACCACGTTATGTATGCCGATGATTTGGTAATAGCTGCTCATTCAGAAGAGGAGTTGGAGGCGCTGCTGCTGAGACTGGAGCGTGCCACTAAGAGGTGGGGCCTTACCATCAGCCCCACCAAAACCAAGCACCTGCCTGGGTATTTTGTACCATCGGACACTCCACCCCCACAACTCCCAATTGGTGATGGGGCAGTTGTGGAGAGAGTGGAGAGTTTCCCATACCTGGGCAGTGTGCTTATGACCGGCTCCAGTCTATCAGCAGAGGTCTCACTCCGAATCAGTCGAGCGGCAATATCTTTTCATCGGTTGCGTAACGCTGTGTGGAAGCTACCTGGTCTGTCGCTCCGCACGAAGCTTCAGGTCTTCTCGGCCACGGTCATTCCCTCCCTTCTCTACGCTTGCGAGACGTGGACCCCCCTGGTGGAGCATCTTCGCCGGTTGGAAACATTTAGGCTGGCCTGCCTGCGATCCATCCTGGGTTTAACCAGGCTGGATTGTGTGAGGAGCTCACAAGTCCTTGAAAGATCTGGGCAAAGTCCCATCAGTGAGCTCCTCCGGCAGGCAAGGCTGCGTTGGCTGGGTCATGTAGCCCGCATGCCCAGCCACCGCATGCCTAAACAGCTTTTGTTCGGCCGGATCGAGGGGGCTAGACGGGCGCGGCACGGGCTGGAGAAGAGATGGAGTGATGTGGTACAGGAGGACGTGGAGCTGAGTGGACTTGCCGATGACTGGTACCAGCGGTGTCAAGATCGGCCTCAGTGGAGGAGGCTCGTGAAGGACGCTACTGGGCAGTTGGAGGCAGTCGCCCTCCAACAACAACGGAGGGCGGAGGAGCGACGCTCACAACAACGAGCGGAGCGCCGGGTGGCTAAAGCACAGCAAGTTGGCACAGTAGGGGGCACAGGTGGTGCATCAGCCAGTCATCTCGGTCATCTCGGTCAGTCGACCAGTGGCATCTGGGTCTGCCCCGTGACCTCCTGCCAGCGGGCTTTCGACACTTCACGTGGCCTCAAGGTGCACTTGGCCTGGCACAAGCATCGTGGTGACGTCACCGCCACTTAGTGGCGAATGGCGGTTGTTGTTGTTGTTGTTGTGTGTGTACGCACCGGGCCTGCCCGGCTGCCCATCCTGCCCCGATCTCCCTCCACTGCCCGGTTGACCCGGCTGCCCCTGGGGTCCGGGGGGTCCCGGCGTCCCCCGGTCCCCCGGGGTGCCCTGGCCCCCCAATCCTGGTGGGCCTCGCTCCCCCTTGGCGCCAGGGCCCCCCGGGAAACCTGTCAAGGAAAGAGACGCGCGAGTTGCTACAAAGGCCGGGCATACCAGTCGCGAGCGGCTGTGAGCGATCGGTTGTGAGCCATCGTTTGAGGGCAATCGGTTGCGAGCAATCGGTTGCGGGCAATCGGTTGCGAGCAATCGGTTGCGGGCAATCAGTTGCGGGCAATCGGTTGTCAAAAATCGGTTGCGGGCAATCGGTTGCGGGCAATCGGTTGCGGGCAATGGGTTGCGAGCAATCGGTCGTGGGCAATCGGTCGCGGGCAATCAGTTGAGGGCAATCGGTCGCGGGCAATCGGTTGCGGGCAATCGGTTGCGAGCAATCGGTCGTGGGCAATCGGTTGCGGGCAATCGGTTGCCGGCAATCGGTTGCCGGCAGTTGCGAGTGATCAGTTGCAAGCAATTAGCGTGAGTAGGCGAGCATCTGAGCAAGCAATTGTCGAGCAGACCGAGAAAATCGGGCTCTGACGCGGGCGACCAACGGCGCAGGTTGCTCGCAACCGGTTGCAGAGACATCCGCAACCAAAGTTGCACGCAACCAAAGCAGAAGCACACTCAGAATTACGCACAGAGAAAGTGGATTAGGGGACACACACAGGGCTTGAGATATAGCCTCATATTGATCTTCATACAGAATGTGGATCGAGTCTGTGGGTCTCTGTGTGATGAGTCTGTGGGTCTCTGTGTGATGAGTCTGTGGGTCTCTGTGTGAGTCTATGGGTTCTGTGTGAGTCTGTGGGTCTCTGTGTGAGTCTGTGGGTCTCTGTGTGAGTAGTCTATGGGTCTCTGTGTGAGTATTCTATGGGTCTCTGTGTGAGTAGTCTATGGGTCTCTATGTGAGTCTATGGGTCTCTGTGTGAGTAATCTATGGGTCTCTATGTGAGTAGCCTATGGGTCTCTGTGTGAGTGAGTCTATGGGTCTCTGTGTGAGTAGTCTATGGGTCTCTATGTGAGTGAGTCTACGGGTCTCTATGTGAGTGAGTCTATGGGTCTCTATGTGAGTCTATGGGTCTCTGTGTGAGTGAGTCTATGGGTCTCTGTGTGAGTAGTCTATGGGTCTCTATGTGAGTGAGTCTACGGGTCTCTATGTTAGTGAGTCTACGGGTCTCTATGTGAGTCTATGGGTCTCTGTGTGAGTGAGTCTATGGGTCTCTGAGTCAGTAGTCTATGGGTCTCTGTGTGAGTCTATGGGTCTGTGAGTAGTCTATGGGTCTCGGTGTGAGTTTATGGGTCTCTGTGTGAGTCTACGGGTCTCTGTGTGAGTCGTCTACGGGTCTCTGTGTGAGTCTATGGGTCTCTGTGTGAGTCTACGGGTCTCTGTGTGAGTCTATGGGTCTCTGTGTGAGTCTATGGGTCTCTATGTGAGTCTACGGGTCTCTATGTGAGTGAGTCTATGGGTCTCTGTGTGGTGTGTGGTTCTCTCACCTGGGGACCCGGGTGGACCTGCAGGTCCTGGGGTCCCCGTTGCTCCAGGAGATCCTCTGCCAGGAGTTCCTGGTAACCCGGGTTGGCCTGGGCCTCCCTGGAATCCCATATCACCTGTGGAGCACACACACGCACACACACACGCACGCACGCACGCACACACGCACACACGCACAACAAAGATCCCCCGTATAGACTTAACAGACTGTCGGGGCAAGTGCTGTTAGCGAGCACCTATGAAGGCCGGCACGGCACACCAGGTACTCATTTGAGGCTGAGTCGACCGACCTACGGGAGGCCCGGGACCGGTTCAGATAATCGCCACCAGTGTTGGCCATGAGCGGGAATGGAACCCGAGTCGCCAGGTTTGTAGCGCAGCGTAGCGCTAACCACTACGCTATCGTACACGCACGCACACACACACGCACGTACACACACACACACGCACACACGCACACACACGCACACACACACGTACACACACACGCACACACGCACACACACGCATGCACACACACGCACACACGCACACACACACACACGCACACACACACGCACGTACACACACACGCACACACGCACACACGCACACACACGCACACACACACGTACACACACACGCACACACGCACACACGCACACACACGCATACACACGCACGCACGCACACACACACGCGCGCGCACGCACGCACGCACGCACGCGCACGCGCACGCGCACGCACGCACGCACGCACGCACACACACACACACACGCACACACACACACACACACGCACGCACACACACACACAGGCACACACACACACACACGCACACACACACACACACACACGCACGCACGCACACACACACACACACACCACACACACACACACCACACGCACGCACACACACACGCACACACACACACGCACGCACACACACACACACACACGCACGCACGCACACACCACACACCCACACACACACACACGCACGCACGCACACACGCACACACACACACGCACGCACCACGCACACACACACACACTCACACACACACGCACACACACACACACGCACACACGCACACACGCACACACACGCACACACACGCATGCACACACACGCACACACGCACACACACACACACGCACACACACACGCACGTACACACACACGCACACACGCACACACGCACACACGCACACACACACTAACACACACGCACACACGCACACACGCACACACACTCACACACACGCACGCACACACACACGCGCGCGCGCACGCACGCACGCACGC